ACTTGTTGAATGAATAATGAATAAATGAAAGAAACTAGATTATGGAGGTCTTTGAAGCCCAGGTGTCAAGAGTTTATAATATATTCCACAGGTAATAAGGAGCTGCCGAGGTGCCTGAACAGAGAAAACAATATGCTCAATTATAGAGAAACAACTCAGGAAGAGCGTGAAGGATAGACTACAAAGATAAACAAGGATACTTTTGGTGGGGGTGTGGAAAACAGGGGATGTATGCCTAGAATCTGCAGGACTTGGCAACGGATTGGATTTGGGAAGATGAGGGAGATGGGGGTGGGGGAAAGCAAGATGAGTCGAGGTCTTAAGTCTGAGTGACTGGCAAGATGGCGGCCTCATCAACAGAAATGAAGAAATTGAGAGGAGCAAATCTGGGAGGAAATGATGATAAGCTAAGCTTGGACACATTGAGTCTGAGGTACCAGCTGGACTTTAATGGCACATGGGCTTTCCTTCCCTTAGGGATTGGGCACATAGCAAGCGTCTTGGCCCCTCCTTTGCTTGCCTTTGGCGAGTCAGGTCTTGGCCTTTAGGTGGTTGCCATTGCCCAAGCCAACCTTCCAGTTAAACTCCAGTGGACCCTGGTTGCCGAGATTGTTCTCCCTCCTTAGCTCTGCCTATCAACAATCCTTAGTTTCTTTCAAGGTCGATTGTGACTTTTGTATTGTCTTCCTGACCCTCCCATTTGTTAGGACTCTCTCTCTTCAAAATATCTTAGTAAATATAACTGATATTTCCATATTGCTTTAAAAATGGCAAATCATTTGCACCTGTATGATCTCACATGAGCCTGACTACAATCCTGAGAGAGAGGTATGATAAGTATTATCTCTATTTTACAGATAATGAAACTGAGACTAAGAAAGGTAACATGACTTACGATAGTCACACAGCTAGTTAAGTGTTCTGACGCAGGATTAGTGCCTAGGTCTTTTTGGCTCCAATGCCAGAACTCTAGCCACAGTGCCATATGGCCTCTCTTAGTCTTGTATTTAAATATTTATATATTTATATGTTATATCCCTACTGAGGGTAATGGACGGTATTTAATTTTTTTTCTTTGTATCTTTAATCTTATAGTCTCACTAAAAAGGGAACTCCCTCTGCCAGTGTGGTGCCCATCCATCCCTTCTCAGGTCAGTGCCATGCTATTCTTATCCTTGTCATCCTGTCACCTTACTTCCCAGGCTCCCCTCTGCCCTGGCCCACAAGATGGGTGGCCTCGTGTTTTTCCTGGAAGCCTTCCCTACAGACAAGACAGAGTATCTTCCTGGTACAAAGAACTTCTGGTTTCCACCAAATAAATATATTAAAGGTCAGTACTTTACAGAGCTCAGGGGAAGATTTTCAAAAGACTTTAAAAGCAAAGGGTGGGAATAGGGAAGGCAGGGCAAAGTCTCAATAAAGACCTTTGTACACAGTTCATATCTTTTTTTTTGTTTTTGTTTTTTTGAGGCAATTGGGGTTAAGTGACTTGCCCAGGGTCACATAGCTAGTAAGTGTTAAGTGTTTGGCCTGAGGCCACATTTGAACTCAGGTCCTCCTGACTCCAGGCCCAGTGCTCTATCCACTGCACCACCTACCTGCCCCCACAGTTCATATCTTTAAATAATAATAATAAAGATAAGAGATTTATCTGCCATGTTGCTGGCTGCAGAACCAGGGAAAAAAATGGTTCAGGAAGTACTTAGCCAGAACTGAGTTGACACACAAAAGAAATGACCTGCTCATTTCTCAGTTTCTCTTTCCCTTCATGGCTGTGAGTGATACAAGAACTCCTGGGAGCTGCTGAGTGGGAGAAGGGGCTGAGGCAGCAAGTTGCATTCCCTACTCATCCACCATGCGCCTCGGTTTCTTTTGTATTTCATCTTTCCTGACATAAGGTGAATAAACATTCTGTGATGGGAGCACCCAAGCAATCTTGGGAGTACAGAACTTCCCAAGGTTCTATCAGAAGTCCCATCAGTGGTGGAGGCTCAGGACCCAAACTAACATAGCCAAGCTCTTGCAGCATTGGCAGACCAGATCCCATGAAAGCAAACTGACTTCCACTCCCTTTAGGATTCTAGGGAAAACCCTGAGGGATTGGAGCTTCTATCACAGTAGTTCCTGAGATAATGGGTGTGCTCCCCATTATCAATCAACCAGTGGGCTCCATCAGCTTTTAGGAAGGTGATTGCCTAAGCAGGTAACAAATAGTTAGCACAAAACATTCCCCCCAAACCAGGGCACAATCTCCCCTTGTATGTACAGGCACATGGGTGGGAAACACCATTGCAAAATGATCCCTCAGTCCCTGGTTCCGTGAAGTCCTTTTCTCTCGTTATATAATCTTTAGGAGGCTTCCCTTAAGTGTAGCTCTCGCTGGGCTCCAAAGGTCAGTGCCCAGCACTTCTCTTCAGCATGAGGAGTCCCAGTCCCAGAAGTGACTGTCATCCTCCAGTGAATGTCTTTTCACATCAGTGTGCAGGTGCTTCCTCCACATCAGCCTGTAACACTCTGTTAGCCCCTCTCCCCCCTCTGCTCAGGTGCCTGGTGAGGGGAAGACACCAACTGTCACCAGCGGGACTTTGGATAAGACCTCCAGCCTTCTCATGGTCATCTAGCCCCTCCATCTCAGAATATTCATTCACTTAACAGCAAGGGAGGAAAAAAAGCAAACACAATGGAAAAAGAGGCACCATGTGCTCTGGACACATGGCAGATGGGTGGGGGATGGAGGGGATTGGGTTTGCTGCGGCCCCTCCCCCACCCAGCAGCTCACAGTCGTCTTTGTGTCACTCATCACCCGGAAGGAAAAGAACCTGGAGAGATCAGCAGGTGGTCCCTTTTGTAGACAAACTCTCCGTTTCTGCAGCCAATTATAAGACCCTTCATCACTGTGCAATGCCAGCCCCGCAGTCATGCATGGATGGAAACAGACTTCCAAAGTTCCACATGTTGGACAGATATCAGGCAGGGAATATCTCTGCATTCTCTTCATAATGCACCGAGGAAACAACAGGCCTGAGCTTGCTCTGAGGACTGAGCTCTCATTGGCCAGTCCATCCCTTTCCATGTTTCAAGTACTTTATAAATCTTAAGGCTAATCTTACTGCCCTTGTTCCAGTTCTGTTACTTACTACCTCTGTGCCCTAGAGATTTCTCAGGGACTCAGTTTCCTCCACTCTACAATGAAGGCTAACTAGTTAATTTATAGATTCCTTACAATTCTAAATCATATGATTCTGCAATCTGGTGGTATTATGAAAATGGAGCCAAGGTAGACAAGGAGGAGTGAGGTGTTCTGTTCCCCAGTAAGTTAAGAGATGGTACCTCATTTGACAGGACTAGGTACTGTGATAGCCTATAACATCGAAGGCTGAACTCTGTCCTCAGCTCTCAAAGGCAGGTCCGAAGAAGAGGCAGAGAGAACATTGCACAGTGCCTGGCATATTAGGCGCTTAATAAAGGTTTGTAGATTGGTTGATTGCTGAGGGTTACATAGGAAAATATCATTTGTCACAATCCTATGACCTCTGAGAGTAAGGGTCCAATGAACCTCCCATCCAGGTTGACCCAAGGGAATAGGGAAGGGCTAACAAGGTGTTAGCAAAAATAAAACTGTCACTGACACTGTAACATATAATCATCTAATGTTCTCTGCACCAAACGCCTTAGGGAGCCACAAGAAAATCTAACCCACGAGACTTACCCCATAAATAAACACCATATGGAAGAAACACAAGCAGAAACCTACACGGAATCAGCTCCCTAAAGCCATGCTGTTGTACCTAAAGGAAATCTTCCCTGTCTCTCTTACTCCCTCCACCCCCGGAATAGGACTACTCCCTAGGGTAGGATTCAAGAAGCACAACAGAAAGCATATACTTGCTAATAAAAGGCCTCCTGTGGTTTTCTTTGGCCTGTAGTAAGGCTGTCATTCACTGCTTTTATGGATTTTTTGAGGTTTTCCATTGTAGTTTCCATATTGGTCATTTTCTTCATTATTTCCTTTTTTTCTGCCTCTTAATTCTTGATTAATTTGTAATTGTAACATCTGTGATTTTTTTTAAAAAATCTTTCCTCAAACTCTTCTTTTGTTGGATCTTGTGATTTTCTTTTGCATCACCAATTAGTGTTGACTTTCTTTGAATAAGGATGATGGCATGTATCCACTTAGGGGCATGTCAACTATTTACCAGCCGTAACTATTAACTTCACTGGTCATACCCTAAATGTGAGATTCTCATCCAGCAACAAGTGGACACACACACTATAAGTACTTTCTTCTGAAAGAGTTGTCCCAACTGGTGCTGGACTCAGCAAGCACCAAGTAACATCATTAAAAAATGAAATTGGTCTTTTGGCCAAATGACCGTCCTTTTATTAAAATGTTGGCATTATTAATAAAACAACTAAATTACCCAGAAATTATGTCTCTCAAACCTTTTTAAATGTCACAGTTGATCTTTAAGGGACACTAAAATTAGGACATTTATAAGATATCCAAGTTCTTCAAGGCCCACACACAAAGGAGGTCAAAACCAAAGGAAAAAATATCACATATAACAAAATATTAATAATAGCACATTTTTGTGGTGGCAAAGAACTAGAAAAAAATGATATGCATGTTATTTGAGGAATGGATAAACAAATTGTGATACCTGAATGGAATGGAATATTCCTGTACCGGAAGATCAAGGGAACACAGTAATAACAGCTAGCAATTTTGCAGCATTGAAAGTTTTGCAAAGATTTTAGCAATATCGCCTAGTTTTATCCTTGAAACAACTCTATTACTAAGCAATTAGTACGGTGTAAAAAACGCCTGGGGTCAAGTGAAAAGCAGGAGAGTTCACACCTTGAAGGAAGGAGGGGCTTCAGGGTTCCAGGGAGATATAAAAGCGCAGGGATTAGGCAGATTTGAGATTTCCTATACGCCCTTAGCAAAAGGCAGAGCTCTGAGGCGGAGGAAGAAAGCCTCTCGGAAGAATCAAAGCAACATGACCTCTTACATGACCTCTTACGCAGAGGGGATTCAAGACTTCCAGCAAGAGCTCATCTGCTCCATCTGCATGGAGTACTTCACAAACCCAGTGTCCATTGAGTGTGGCCACAGTTTTTGCCATGGTTGCCTCCTCAGGTACTGGCGGGGAGACTCTCCCCCTTTCTTCTGCCCAGAGTGCAGGAGCGGCACCTCGCGGAGGGATTTCAAAGCCAACGTGCGACTTGGGAAACTGGCAGTCATTGCCAAAAAAGTAAGACCCGATTGTTCGCAGTACTCTGAAAGATGTGCCAAGTGTGAGGTACATCAGAAAATGCACAAGCTGTTCTGTGAAGATGAGCGGCGCCCAGTCTGCGTGTACTGTTCTCAATCCCAGAAGCATGAGGCTCATATTCTCCGTTGCATAGACGAGGCAGCTGAGGGCTTTAGAGACAGGCTCCAAGGAAGTGTGACTGATTTGTGGAAGAAAACTGAGGACGTCGTTCAGCAGATAAGCAATGACAAGATTAAATTTGCGTTGTTAGAAGTAGAAATAGAAAATCAAAAGAAGAGTGTTTTGTCTGAATTCCAGAAAATGAAACAATTCCTAAATGAGGAGAAGGATGCATTTCTATCATGTCTGCAAGAACTGGGGATGGCCAATTTAGAAGCCCTGAACAAGACCATCAATGAATTATTTCATCAGAATCAACAAATACGGAAGAGGATCACAGAGTTAGAGGAGGAGCGAGAGAAACCAGATCTGGATTTGCTCCAGGATATGAAAGGAGTGTTAAACAGGAATGAATCTGTGCTCCTAAAGGAAATACAAACCTTCGGTATACGCATGGCTATCTGGCCCATCCCCAGGCTTATGGAACATATTTTCAATTTGAAAGTGGACATCACTCTGGATTGCAACACAGCTGATCCAGGTCTCATCATATCTGAGGATCTGAAGAGTGTGAGATATGGAGGTGTCCAGGAGGAAGCACACAACAACAGTGGGAGGTTAAGAGATTTTGCCCAAGTTCTTGGTACTCAATCCTTCATTTCAGGGAGATATTACTGGGAGGTAGAGGTGCCAAATAACACGATGTGGTGTGTTGGCATCTGCCCCAAATCAAAAGAGTCTCGAGATTTCTTTGTGCTGAGGACTGTACAGTCACCTAATTCCTGCTATCTTTATGTCATGGCCCAGCACAATCTTTATTCCAAGGTCCATACAAAATACCGCCAGGTCGGTGTGTCAAACCTAAAGGTGGGCATTTTCCTTGACTGTGAACGTGGAGAAGTATCATTTTATCATGTGAAAAGCAGATATCTAATTTATACTTTCCCTGCCACTTCATTCTCAGGACCTCTTGTGCCATTCTTCTGTCTTTCTAAGAAAGTCTTGACAGATGATTGCTCTCTCACAATCTGCCCTTAATTGAGAGAGATCAAGGAATATATATTTATTGGCCAAATGGACTTTGGGCACTATATTACCCCAATTCCTGTGTGCCTGGTTATATGAAAATACTTGTACCTATTAGCCCTGCTACAGATAAAATTTTTTCCTATTTCATCTTTGTATGTTTTCTCTTGACCCCAGTAGAATAAAAGCTATGTCACAACACAAATTGTTTCATTTTGCTCTTTGTATACCCAATGCCTAGAATGTTTCTAAGGTTTAATAAATGCTTGTTGAATTGTTTTTTTTTAAAAAGGAAAAGTATTTTAATGACCAGGAAAAATGCCTGTCTACTACAGTGGGAGGAATTTCCCCATCAGCTGTTTGTGTGCAGGCAAAGTGCTGACTTGTCTGGGCAAAGTTCACAATCAACACTAAATGAGAAGAATAAAAATGAAAAGATGGTAGGACATGCAATCAAGACAAGCTCATCCTTACACTATTTAAACAAGCTATTGGTGGAGAAAATTGAGGAAAGGATAAAAGGATTATAGATTTAGAAAGGGTTTGAGATAGAAGATGACTTAACCCAATGAAAACCTGCTCTAAGACATAATCAGCACAATTGGTTATCTCAGCCTTTACTTGCAGACCTCCAGCAAAGGGGGATTCATTACCTCCTGAGGCAGCCTGCTGTACTTTTGTATCACTTGAATTGTTAGGAAGTTTTCCCTTTAATTCTTTGTAATTTCTACCCAATGGTTCCTAGTTCTGGCTTTTGGAAAGAAACAGAGTAGGTCTAATCTCTTTTCCACGTGAGAGTCCTTAAATACTTGGAGACAGCTATTCTATATCCCTAAAGTTTTGTGGTTTGGTTTGGTTTGGTTTTTTCCCTCCTGGTTAAACATCCTCAGTTCCTACAAGTGATCTTTATTAAAAGATTGTAAGCTCGTTGAGGGCAGGGACTGTCTTTTGCCTCTTTTTGTATTCCCAGCACTTAGCACAGTGCTTGGTACATAGGAAGCACTTAAATGTTTATTGATTGATTTATATGGAATGAAATCAAGGCCCTTTGCCACCCCAGTCAACCCCTCTTTAGACATTCAATTTATGCAATGTTCTATCCTAGAAAGTGGCATTTCGACTGAAGGCAGTATCCCACATATGGGCAATACAGAGGAAATATCGCCTCCCTGGTCTTAAACAGCATGCCTCTCAATACAAGGGAAAAATGCATTCACTTCTTTTGCTGCCTTATCACATTCTTGTGACTTATTAAGCTTATGTTGTTTGTTCACTCGTGTCCCACTCTTCATGACCCCATTTTTGGGTTTTCTTGTCACAGACTGGAGTGGTTTGCCATTTCATTTTCCAGCTCATTTGACAGATGAGGAAACTGATGGAAATGGGGTTAAGTGATTTGCCCAGGGTCACCCAGTCAGTAAGTGTCTGAGGCCAGATGTGAACTCAGGATGAGGAGTCCTCCTGACTTCAGACCCTGTGCTCTATTCACTGTACCACATAGCTGCCTAATTAAAAAAAAATCTGAAGAATAAGATATAATCACAGATGCACATTATTTTCTAAGGAAATTTAACCAATATAAATAAATCACCCCAAAAAGGAGAGCAAAAGAACCTAGGAAATGTCATAGCCAGCTAACACTTGATCTCCTTGCCAAACAGAGAGATATAGCATAAAAAGGCCATAGTGCTTAGAATGTAGACTCATCTGTAAAACCTTCAGATGATGACAGTGGAAGATTACAGGTAGTATCACCCTATGAGAAGTTATGGAAGGTAAAACACATTTAAAGAAAGCTTGGCAAAGGAAAAGGAAAGCAAAGGAAAGGCTAAGCAACGTCACCCAGAGGACATTTAAGAATGAACCTGGAAGGAGGGAAATGAATGGACAAAAATGGAAAATCTCTGTAAAGATTTCCATAACATACTCTTTTCTTCAATAAAGACAGTGGAACTGCCATATTGGAACTCTAACATCACAGTCCCAGATGTGTTATATGGGAAAGTAGAATGGTACTAAAGAAAATAAAGATGGTGCCCCAGACTGTTAGAGTTGTCTGAGATTCAAGAGGTTTAGATAAAGTAGTTAAACTGGCCAGTGATGCTAAAATTAAGAGGCCTTTATTATGGGCACATGTTATCTTAAGTTAAGGCTTAAAGGGGTGGAGGAGTACACAGAGGAGAAGGCTGAGGAGCTAGGGAAGGATAAAACCAGAGAACTCACCTTGAGTGTCATGATCTGGGCCATGGTAGGAGGAAGAAGGAAGTTCAGAGATGGTCAGCCTCTCTTCTCCAGTCACTCTTCCTAATTAGTGTGCTAGATGACTAGAGTCTTTTCCCACTCTACCAGGGCAGCACACTGGGATACACCTCCAGGACTAAGTCAGCTCTCATTGGAGGGAGGAATCAATGCCTCCAAAACCTGGGCCATACCGTATGCAACACCCATTCCCAATCACCAGGGCAGTTGAAGTAGGTCAGAACTATGGGGTTTATAGGGATGGGTGGGGTCTTGCTCAGGCACATCTCATTGGTTTCCCACTTCTGATATCACAGAGACCCTAGAGGAATATAGAATGGGTCATGGAATTCTCCAGTATGGAAGGTTCTAGGCACAGAAAATTTTAGAAAATAGAAGAAAACTTCTGGAGTAGAGATAGCCTGCTGTGAGAAAGACCACCTTCTTCCTAACCACACCCTCCAAATTGAGTGGGTAATAGAGTTGGGCTAGACCATATGTACACAGGAGAAGTCCATTCTGGAGGCAACACAATTTTAAGAGGGTCAAGGAATCTATAAAAGAGAAGAGGGCTTTGTTGTTATCAAAAATAGACAGCTAAGACTATGTCAATATTGAATGACCCATATGTCTGTTGTTCTTGTTCAGTCATGTCTTTCTAAGGTTCACCACCTCAGATCACCTTTCTAAAATTAGGCTTGTTGTCCAGTTGTGTCCAGCTCTTTGTGACCCCATTCGAGTTTTTTCTTGGCAAAGATACTGACCCCATTTGAGTTTTTTCTTGGCAAAGATACTGAAGGGGGGTTGCCATTTCCTTCTCCAGATCATTTGACAGATGAGGAAACTAAGGCACACAGGGTTAAATGACTCACCCAGGGTCATACAACTAGTGAGTATCTGAAGCCAGATTTGAACCAGGTCTTCCTGATTCCAGGCCTGATGCCCTATCCACTGTGCCATCTCACTTACTCCATGACTCACATGACTTTCACAAATGATATTCCACAACACAAATCTTTCTGTTTGGCATTTAAATTCTTTTACAATCTGGTGCCAGCCTACTTTTCTAGATTTATTACATATTATTCCCCTTCAAACACTCTTTGTTTCTACCAAACTTTTCCTTGTTCTGTTGTACAACAATCTGGATCTCTGCACAGGTTGTGCCCTCTGCCTGGAAAATATTCTCTCCTCACCCCTATCTCTTAGAATCTCTAGTTTCCTTTTGAAGCTCAACTCCAGGGGCATCTCCTACATGAAGCCTTTCCAGATTCCTCTTGAAAACTGCAAGTATCTCCCCACCCCCAAATTACCTGGCATTTACTTTCTTTTAATATTTTATATGTCCTTAACAGCATACAAGTTGCTTTTCCCCAAGAAGAATATAAATTCTTAGAGGGCAAGGACCATATGTACCACTTTTCTCTTTTTTACTGTAGAAAACTCTTTGATTCAGTATAAATAAAACACTGCTGCAAAATTTCTCTTCAAACTCCTCATTCCCCTTGCACATATCAAAATCATACAAGATTCCATGAAAGATACAAAAACAGAGATAACTTTGGTAATTATTAAAATCAAGAGAATCAAAAAATAGTATGGAATATGCTTGTCAAAGTTCTTCCCTAATAACAGTGAGATTCCCCCAGATGTTCCTGTTTGCAAATGTCACCATGCTGATTTCATCCAGCCCCGGAATACATAGTCTCTTAAATGAAATCCAAAGCCATTCAAGAGTTCACCGTAACTATCCACAGAGGAAAAGCAGAGTGGATAAACAATGTCTACTTTGATAGACAGTTGAATAAACAATCCCCAGAACTGGTCCTTCAATTAATAAAACTTAAGTAGACTCTATGGACAATGATCATGGCATAGAATTGAACAGAAGGACTGCAGCTGGGAAACTCTGCAGTGGGTTTTTTTGTTTTTGTTTTTGTTTTTGTTTTTGGTTCATCTGCCTCTCAGTCCTTTCCTGATCCCCTCTGGTGCCTCATCAAGGTGTGGAGAAGACCCTGGGATTCTCTTAGACCATTCCAAAAGAACACAAGCTCTACCTGGTAGGTCTTGTGTATGTAGGAAAGTTTCAGACAGGGACCAAGCTGCAGACTCCATACACATCTGTTATCTGAGACCTGGTCTGTCTTAAGTCTCTTCACTCCAGCCTATCCTCCATTCACCTGCTGAGAGATTTTCCTACAAGTCCAAACCGTGTCACTTCCCTACTCAGTAAACTCAAGTAGCTCCCTATTACCGCCAAGATCAACTATGAAGTCTTGTGTTTGGCATTTAAATCTCTTCACAGCCTGGCCCCTTCCTACCTTTCCAGTCTTCTTACACTCTCCACACACTCTAACAATCCAACTATTTGGTGTTCCCCACATGACGCTCCATTTGCCTTTGTACTGATCATCCTCCATGCCTGGAATGCTCTCTTTCTTCATACCTTCCCCTTAGTTGCCCTGACTTTAAGACTCACCTCAAATCCAGTTTGTGCAGGGAGACCTTTCTCCCACTCCACTCCCACCCCCCAGTTGCTAGTCTTCTCTAAGATTACCTTCCAACTACTCTGGCTAGATCTTCTATATACTTAGTTATTTATATGCTATCTCTTCCTTTAGAGTGTGAGCTCCTTGAGGACAGGAACTGCTTTTGCTCTTCTTTATATCTTCAGGGCTTAGCATATTGATTGACACATAGTAAGCATTTAACAAAAGCTTGTTGGCTACCTGAAGGATAGAGAAGAGGATTCAGGATGGAGCTTGGGGCACCCA